AATAAATGGAGGTCCCGTCTCCTACAGGGTAAGGGGTAGGAGACGTTAATTTCCCAGGCACGAGATTACTGTGTGATGGATGTCCTCCCCTGGGGTGGGATGGGCGCGTTAGGATTGATTGTAAAGCGCTGTTGATCTGTCATTGTAAATAGCGCTCTATAAGTGATCAATTTTAATTGTTGTGAGTGGCGCTAAAAAATGTCAAAACCAGAGACAAAAATTTTTGTCGTAGTGGCACTTTAAAGAAAGGAGATGACTATGCTACAACCATATCTTGGATAAGGGTGAAGATACCCTTTGCCATTCTACATTCAGCTTTGCTGTGTCTCAGAGGAACCAGGAGAAAGAGAAGAGTAGCCAATATATCTGACACTGACATTACATCGGAAAGTGTGCAAGCCAGAATTTAAGTAGTCAATTTTTTATTATGTAGTTTAGTTTACTGACTTTTTCTTTTATTTTTAGAGAACTGCTTTTTGTGAAATATTTTTAAGGAAAAATTTATTATTATTATTATTAAGGGCGTCGATCATGTATCGTCAATTTGTTTGCTGTTCTGCTGAATGAAGCTGAAGCAAAATAATGCAGACATAAGATGAACTCTGCTACTCTGTAGAACAGTTGTTAACACCGAAGAGATTCAAGACTTTTCTCTCAGCTAGAGATTTTTTAAACTTGTTTTAATATTTTTACCTTAATTTGTCTTAATTTTGTTTGTTATCTTGTATTTTTTTACTGATTTTGTGAAATAATAATAATAATAATAATAATAATAAAGATTATTATTATTATTATTATTATTATTATCTTGTATGGTGTGTCAGTTGAAAATTTGAAATATCGTAAAAGTAGAATATGTTGGGATTAATGAAATAATTCAATTCCACTGTATGGTCCTGTATTGGTGGACGATTTAGTATCAGAACTGCGCGCATTGAACGAATTACACGCTGACCCAGATTAAGAAAGAAATTAAGCCGTAAGATATAGCCCGACTGAGAGATGTCATTAGACACAAATAGATTGGTATCTGCTCCTTAATTTTTCAGATTATCTTCGGCGTTATTGATAAGTTAAAATGTTTCGGACGTCACACACCATTTACGAAACGTGAGATCGCCAAAGTTGTACATTTTCAACAGTTTGAAGAAGGGAGAGTAATCGTACAACAAGGTGGGTGTTCTAGTACATTCTGAGGCCGAAAACTTCCTGCTAGTCATTTCCGTTTGCAAAAGATCTCCCAGTTTGCTTAGAAAAAGTTCAGAAAATCGTTGATTTATTTGACACAGGCCAACCGGCAACATCCATGTATTTCATCGTGAGTGGGATTGTATTAGTTCAAGTGGCAGTGACAGATATACTCACAGGTCGCCCCAAAAAACAGGTATTTGAAGTAGAAAATATTTTTTTCATTGATCACGAAATTTTAATGCTGCGCGACAATTATATAAAAAACATACATGCACGCACTCAAAAAGTTTTGCTCTGTCATAAAAGAAAAACAGGATCAAGCTACGTGTACCCATGAAAGAGCTTCGCTAATTTTGAAAGCTATTAAAGCAAAGCACATCCTCAATTATCTTTAACTTTTTGGAACTGCGAAAACATAACTATGCATGTTATATTTTCAGATCGTGGGAGAAATGTTCGCTGGTGACTCGTTTGGAGAGCTGGCACTGCTACACGACATCAGAAGAGCAGCCACTATCATATGCAAAGGGGCGGTTGAGTTCCTGACCATAGATAAACCAGACTTTGATATGGTATGTACGCTTGTGATTACAACTTATACTTCTCTTACTAATAATTATTGAGCGTCACTGAGTTTACGCGAACATCTCTATGTGGTCTGTAGGTTTTGAAAAGGAGTTATCAGCAAGAATGGGAGAGTAAGATGTCTTTATTGAAATCATCGCCATATTTTAAAGACTATTCGCCCAAGGAGTTGCAACAAGTGAATTCTACAGCTAAACTAGTCGAGTACCCTGCGAATACGGTTAGTAAGAGATAACAAATCGCTGTCCAGTGTAGTAAAAAATAATACACCGAGACAGACTACATGGGATAATAAGCCTTACGGCAAGATGCTTCGTACAATGTGACTAACAGACCGTTGAGAGGCGTAAATTTGAAACGTCCGTGGACGAAAAGCACTGAATTTTAAACTACACAAGACTTTTAACTAGCAATTAAAGAGCACTATATAAGTGGTCAGTACACTTTCTCTCGTTCAGCAAGCCGGGAGCTGTTAAAAAAAAAAAAATTACATTTCTGCCAGAGGTATGAGCAGCCACGCAGATGTTCGTAGATGTGAACGTTCTCAAATGGTCATAATTCTAAGGATACAGTTTACATTGACTTTAAGCCTTCAGTTTATTCTAATCGGATCATTTTCATTCTTGCTATACATGTCCTTATGATCAATGTTTAGTTTCAGTCGCTGTTTTACAGGGTTTATTTGTTGATCGTAAAAACTGCAGTTATAGCCCGATTCTGTTCTTTCAATTTCGGTGGCCTCATGATTAGTGCACTCGACTCCGGATCGAGAGGTCTGGGTTCGGGCCCTCGCCGGGGACATTGTGTTGTGTTCTTGGGTAGACGCTTTACTCTCACAAAGCCTCTCTTCACTCAGGAGAATAAATGGGCAGCAGCAAAGTTAGCGCTGGGGGTAACCCTGCGACGGACTAGCGTTACATCCAGGGTGGGAGTAGAAATACTCCTAGTCGCTTCATGCAGCGGAAACCGGCCCGATCGACCATTTGGCTAGTAAATAGGCTTTACCCCTCTTTCAATTTGCCTTGCATCACAACTTCTGCAACTCAGTTGTGGACGAGGTTAGGCCAGACATTATCGTGCGAACGAAGTTTTTTTATGGCAGAATCGAGTATATTATTCGCCTAAATTGTGGCGCAATTTAGTTCTTCTCCACTTTGTAACAGTAGTTTGATAGCAACAGCCGCAAGGTAAACCACATTAGAAACAATTCAGAGGACTATGCTTTGCCGCGTCAAAAGTAACTAACAGGTAAAATCTATGTTGCCGGACGAGTGAGTGAATTGAATTAAAAAAAAAAAAAAAACAGAGAAAGTTTCTTTTGCTCATAAAAAAATATGAAATAAAAAGGCCAAACAGCTAAACCTGATATCTTGAACAACTCGAGCCGGTAGAGTAGTTCATGTGCAATACGATTCATTGTGCGCCCAGCGTGGGCCGAGATATCTTAATTAAGTGCTACCGGAGCTTCCGAAAAAGTTAATGACTCGTACAGGTTATGCATTAAAGGAGTTATTCATCGTCTGTGATCTTTGACTGAAGTTTATTGTTCCTCTCCCTATTTTCGCGAGCACATTCTCGCCATGGAAACACTTTTTTTTTTATTATTTCTTGTTTTGATAAATAAAATTTTGAACCCTTTGTAATTTGTGTGCATAGTAGGCTTTTAGTAAACGATTTTAGATTTGTTTGACAGAAAAAAAGGATATACTGCTGTTTTCATTCCGTAAGGTGATGGAAACAGAAACAACGAAGGCTTGATTCTATGAAAATTTGAACAGAGGGCGATTGATATGTACATGAAAACGTTTAGAAGCATCAGCGGTAGCATCACATGATCTAAATTGAGAGGAACATGTCAAGTTTTCTCTTCCTCGACATAACGATTAAAAATTTTTGTAGCCAGAGTCATAAGTATTAGTACATACATAAAGGATTCATAACCGGCGCTGTAGAAAAGTCAGTTTGTGGTTTGAGTGTTTTAATTGGATCCGAAATGAAGACAAAAAGGTTTTTATCGCGAGAAAGAGGAGTTTTTTGTTTATTTTTGTTCTATTTTCGGCGTGGTTTGGAACGACTGAATTCCTTTGTTTACAAAGGAAAGTCTTCCGTCAATTTGAAAACAGCTGATAATGTACGCCAACGCTGACTGACATACGTAGAATCTTTTGAAATTCAAATGCAGTCATTAACCGTTTCTAGCGCTTATTTTACCCACCGAAATATTAATTAGTTACGCAACCATAACCAATATCATTATTGTTAAATTTTTTCCTTTTGTTGAACTGTGTGGTGAGTGCAATCGTCGATTACAAGGCTTGATTTTGGATTCGATTTAAAAATTATATTTACAAATGAAATTTTATTGGGATTCTTTTCATTTCCTCCTGCATGATCTCCTTCAATATACTGCTGCTGTTTTTTAATTTTCATTGCGCGTTTTTGTTCAAAGCTTCAAGGATATTCTGTCTTTGTTCTGTAATATAATAGATGTCGTATTAAGCCTAAAACACAACATATTATTAACTTGCCTTAAAGTGATTGACTAAGTTGTCGTAAGTGGTGACAGGACGCCAAGTGAAGTCAAGATAATACCACAGTGTTCCGTATCAAGTTATTTTGTGTGTTCCCATCTGAATCAATAGAAACCTCATAATGTAAAGCGCTACGCATCATCTTAAAAATTTCATTATGACTAATTCCGAAACTGTGTGGTGTAACAGGACCTGAGACTTTCGAATTACGGAACCAGTCAGTTGTTTCAATGTCTTATTTTTTCCGTTTAATTTCGAGTTTTCATTTGGAGGAGTACGAGCCGCAAGGACTCCGCCTGCTATGGCGTGAGTGGCGGCTTTTATTTGCTGTTAACCTGTCTTTTCAAAGGACACAAAGGAACTCGTCACCTCACTGACTCTAAACTTTTATCAATTCAGCTTGTATTTTAGGCCACTTTTAAAACACTTACGTTTGACACACTCACCGATTCAAATTCTCCTTGACTTTAAATTAGATCTGCTTGTGGTAATATTCTAATTTTAACCGAAACGTGGATATTTAGCATCATATTATTTCGTTTTGAAGAATCGTAATTTCGATAGATTTTGTTTAGAAGAACTGAACCACGCCGATGATTCCTGCAACTAACATCACATTAACGGCTGCAAATCAAATGGATTGTCAAGAGGGGACCTTGAAGCCATTTGTCGCCCAGTCATGCTTTCTTATTTTCATCGCTATCATAACACTTTTGGGGAACATTTCAGTATGTTTGACGGTAATATTCAACAACAATCTGCACACTTTCACCAGCTACCTTGTCGCTTCATTGGCTTGCTCAGACTTGATGGTTGCCACTTTCTCGCTTCCATTTCGCATCCATCAGACAATTCATAACACGCATTGGTGCCTTAGTGAATCTGCCTGCCTGTTTTGGATTTGGGCAGACTTATTCTGCTGCTGCGCCTCCATAGGAAATTTGGCGTTGATAAGTGTCGATCGTTTTTTAGCCACCAAGTATCCCCTGAGATACCACCAGATAGTCACTTGTAGGACATCTTGGTTGATGCTATCTTCTGTGTGGATTTACTCGATAGTCGTGGCATCCTCGGGTTTAACGAACTGGACATCCCTTGATGGGAAGCTCGTAGGCATCAACGACGGCTGCTACAAGCCCGATCCTTATTATTACACGTTCGCAGCAATCGTTGGTTTTTTCGTTCCACTCGTAGTGATTATGTGCACTTATTGTTACATTTTCAAGATCGCCATGGAACACTTCCGCGCCATCTCGAGACTAACCGCTCCTGTTATGCCTAACGCGTCAAAGAGCGGGGAGAATCATCAAGCGTTGTACAAACAGCAACTTAAAGCCACCAAAACTCTAGCCATAGTTGTTGGCGCCTTTGTTGTTTGCTGGTTGCCAACTTTCATAATTCTATTGGTCAAAACATGGTGCCAGTCATGTTTAAATAGTCAACAGAATCCTGAATTGAGCGGTCTATTTTTTGCTATTAATGTGGCATTTGTCTACACCCTACCGAATATTAACTCAGCCATTAACCCTTTCATCTACGTTGTTTTTAGTAAGGATCTAAGGCAGGCTTTTATCAAGACTTTCAGATCGCTTTATCAAGAACTGTGCGAAATCAGGACGGCGTCAAGACAGTCATTTGTCAGGTCGAATTTTTCGTAAGGGTTACACTTATTAGTTCTATCTTTTTTTTTTTTTTCACATAATGAAGAATGAAGGTATTAAAGTTTGTCGGTGGCGACTCAGTAAATATGACGTGAAATTCAGGAAGTGTAACGATCTGTTGCCGTTTTGGAAATAGCATCCTTTTTCCATTCCTTCTTTCGGAGTAACTTACTCAGACTCTCGAGGTAGATATAATATTTACCCAGAAAAAAGCATTGTCGCTGTCAGAAACGAAAGACAAATACTTCATTCCGTCATTTTCTATATTCTACAAAAGTTTAGATCTATTCTGAGATCACAATGCTCCGAAGGCCGGTACCTTTAGGATCAGCTTTCATGTGTAGGAAAACTTCTTCGTTTCGCTCTTTAGAAAGATTGCCCCTACTTTCGGTTGGCCGTACTTTCAGAAGTTTATGCTAATTCTATCAATCTGCATAATATTCAGTATGTTGTTCCTCTTTTGACCGCTAAAATTTTTCTTTTATTGATTCATCGCCGGTGTCTTTACCGATGGGCCGTACCTTATCGCCTGTCCTACTCATCTCGCTCATTTTTGTCACAGTTTCACTCACATTTCACCTGTCTTTAAATGTATGAAAAAACATGGACTAAAACATTGGGAATCAAAAAGAATGAAGAAACCGGCACTCCATTGTAGACCTCACGATATATAAAAACGGAATTCACCAGAAATCCGTAGACGATCAGTTGGAGTGTTCTCAGGGAACAATTTTGGGCCTAGACATTTTAATTTCGACGGATCATTTCACTGTAATGTAACAGTAAATGAAAGAGAAAAAACTCTCTTTATTATCCCCAGAGGAAGTTCCGTAACAATACAGACACGTGTATCAGAAATCATTGCATTGCTCAAATGAACCTTTTTGTTACCTCCCTGTCTAAAATATTTAACAATTATTCTTCGAAAGCAACGTGAATATTGTTGAATAATCTCCGAGACGAAGTCGAGCAATCTTCACTGAGCCTGAGGCGAATAATTATTTTAGTCAGGAGCCCATTACCCTGTATTAGTATAATTGTTCAGGCGCTTTCGAATGCTGTTGTAAATCTTATAAATAAAGAAAACATAACGCATATTTCGTTATGACTGTGGTGATTACTCGTATCAAGGCAAGCAAGGTGTTTTAGCAGGTTTATTCAACAAAATCAACAAAAACTTTATATCTTCTTTTTGAAAGTGTTCCGCCGAACTCAGTAGCATATTTTGTCACTTCCGGTAACATTGTTTATATCACCCAGCGCGAGGTGATTTATAGCAGCAGCGCTAAATTTCAAATATGACAACCACGCGTTTTGTCAGTGTTACCGAGGAATTAATCTACGTGATAAGGAAATTTCCATCCAAAGGGCACCAAAGATGCAATCAAGCTTGGAGTAACACTTCTAAAAGAAGGATGTGAAGTTTAAGCTGATTGAATAATATGGACCTATCAAAATGTGATGGAAACTGCATAACTCTGTTTCTAGATACGTGTAATCAAAACAATTGAAACAGAATGGTTTCGACATTGAAACGAATATTGGCAACAGAATTTGAAAGCATATAAGCAATTATACTGAAACATTTATCCTCCTCAGACTCAGTGAACATTGTTGAATACCGCTGTTCCCCTCGACCTAGTCTCTCGGATTCATCAATATTCACTGAGCGTAGGCGAATAATTGTTAAATTATCAAGTGAGCAATTTTTGAAATACATGATGCAAGTTTCTAACACGTGTAGTATTTAAAACATATTAAAATTTCACTGTTGAAGAAAACGTTTTATTGTTACTGTCTTATTATTATTATTATCACCGTTATTTAGCGGGGCCTACCAATCGCTTGTCACCGATTAGACTCTCATTGTGTGGCTCCCATTGCGTGCCCATATTTTACGTAAAACATCCGGGAAATCTCCCATGTGCTCTTGAAGGAGAATTGTCGTGTTCATGCCGGGATTTTTCTTACCATGAATTATTTTTGTTGTTTAGAAACCCCAAGCTCGAACAGTCGAACAGTCGCCTCCTTACTGGTTCTGTTGAGTTTTCGATTTCAAGCATTATGCGTTTCTGTGAAATACGCAACACATTGTGCTAGTTAGGGATTGTGCCGACTACAAAGGATCCTTTACTTTGCATCTTATCTTAGACAAGAGTCTTCAGCTACGTTAGGTTAAAACTGATTGACGTTGTACAAGCATACCAAGTTAATGTCGCTAATTTACTTATTTCAGGTGATTCTACGAGACGCAGGAAACCCAGGGGAGTGTGTTTACTTTATAAAATCTGGTCAATGTCAGGTGGTACAAGAAATGACTCTCGTAAGAAGAACGCCGCCGCTGAGCAAAAGAAGGCTCATTTTACCACCAGTGCAAGCTGAAGGCAATAACAGTTTTATCTTCAACATAAAAAGTTACGATTACGTTAGAAAACATTTCCTCGTTGTTTGCCTGTTTGGAAAGGGGGATTACTTTGGTGTTGGCGAAGATTTCACAAAAACGAGCATTATATCAGTTAATAAGGTGAGAATGTAAGGTCAGAGATATTTTTATGGGTGCGAACGTAAAAATCACCGAGTGCGTGTTGCGGAGGAGTAAATTTCTGTAATTTGAAGTCAAGAAATACAGCAATTTTCCGGGATTGCATTGGCTTTGCAATGTTTCGCTCTGTGATTGGTCCAGAAAACTCGTTCCTCAACCAATCAGTTGCAAAACTAAAACCCTCGTTTCCCTGCGCTTTTGGCAGTTTGGTTGTTTTTTGCTTTGAGTTCTCATTGGGTCTTGAAGGTGTTTTCTTTCTTCTGATTGGCCGATGTGACCACTTTGGTTTTTGGTTTTGCGACACTCAATCGAAAGGCGCTCTATGTACTTGGCTCTAAAAATGTCTTCAATTCATGTCCTAGCATTCTATTTTGTCCAAATGAAACAATGAACCCATCTGAAACAAAGCCTTGTCTTCACGTGGCATACAATTCCCTCTTGAGATCAAATCATGCTATTTGTGCTCACGATTGCTAACGCTCACTTATCCATTCTAGGTTGAAATCGTTTTGGTTCTAAGAAATGTGATGGCTAAACACGAGCAAGGACGCATATTGGCGGAAATGAAGGATAAACTCAACAAAGAATTGCCCTCGAGAAGAGAGGTTTTTCGTAGTTTTGTTTCAAGGGAAAGATGGCGACATTATAAGTTGGACATATCGAATGAGCTAAGGACCAAGAAATGGATGTTGAACCCGACAAAATTACAGGATGTGCCTTACTCAATCCGAGAGAAGTATTTAACTTAACACCTTTTTCTTTTTAATTTCTTAAATGAGAGGTCTTTACCAGTTATAACCATGGATCGATAAATCTAATCAATTTTTTAAAATAGCATTTGACAATACGAGTCAAGATTGGAATAATTTTTTTAAGACCATTCCATTTTCAAATACGATGAAAATAAATTTAGCAAATTTTTTCACGTGGAATGAGTGGTTTTTCGTTGCGAAGTTTCTCCTCTCCAGTACCGCAAATAAGCTAATGTTGATTGGGTCTGTAGCTTTCTTCACACCGTTAATCATACCAAGTAAAATTTACCCAAGTGAAGACACTTTTTTTGGGAGTTTGGACCAAATTTACAAGTTTTATTACCAATATAATAACTTACTTCTTGGGATGGCTACCTATTCCACTCGCGGTGTGCTTGTGCTTTGGATCCTGGCCTGCTTGGGCTCATGCTCAGACCCCTTCGTCCCAAGGTGAAAAATTCATATCCAATTTCTTTCCTGTTACAATGTGCTTGGAGCAGTAAGGGATGAGACCAGGAAAGCCAATTGTTTTTCTTTGTACCGGCCTTCCGTTTTTGCTCAGAAAAAATTCGAATATAATTACAGAGGAAATTATTTTGGTGGATTTCGGTGGTTATTGTACCGGAACAGGGGTTTTCTTTCCTTCTTTCTCCGTTGACGATGTGCTCAGAAAATCTTATTTAATTTCAGATGCAAAAAATCGCGAAACCTAATGATTTTCACAGTCTTTGTTAAAACAAAGGATTTTAAGGGTCTAAGACATTTAGATTGTTCGATGTAAGTTTTTTGCTGTCATAATGAAAGAGAGGTTTGATTGATAGACCTGTTATGACATCACCATGACGGGTTGATCGAAAGTAGTCAGGGAAAGTGATGTAGAGGTTTGCATCTTTTACTCATCACCTCTAACTTCCTCTATTTATCAAGGTAAGCCCAGTTTGTGGTGTCTGAAGTAAGTATCAACGAAATGTCATGACGCACCGAGTGTTGTTTATAAGTAATTGTTCACAACAGGTGCTGGGCAGAACGCATGGGTTGTTTACCTGTTATGAGTTCTCAGGGATTGTTGACTTTTCGGAAGGACTAATCTGTTATTGTCTTTCAAATGATTGTAGTCGTCCAAAGCTGCCAGTTTCCGTATCTTTTCATCATTTTTTTAGAAAGACTTAAGCAAGTTTTGAAACAATTTGCCACCGAGTCCGTCTTTTGTCATCAGAAAGTATTGTTCAACTTGTTGCTTATTGAGTTAGGATACGAATAAAATTTCAAACGAGATTTCCTTCTTTCGAGGACAATTTAATTAATCGCCGACTGAACGATTCTCTGAACCAAAGCCAACTTTTTTCAGGTCCACCGACGGTCTCTGTAGCAGGCGACTAATGTTTATGAATCGCTTCTGGCTTTTTACATTTGCCTGTGCAATCTTTATCATCGTGCACTCTGCACCGAACTGGGGGCCACTACCCAATGAATACTTCCAAGAATTTTATGACCATTACAGTGAAAATATGCAAAATCATATCGAACATCTCAAGCATGTACACGAGGCACACCATGAAAATCAAAACAGGGTGCATGAAGAATTCCAAGAGAACTTCTATGACGTCAATGAGAGACAACAAGAAGGATCAGAAAGTGACCAGGAGGCGTATGAACGATCACAGGAGGACCTGAGATTTGCAAACAGCGACAAGAGAAGTATACTGCACGGACGAGGTAATTAAGATCATTGCTTTGTTCGGTAACAACTTTCAACTCTTCGTTTGGTGTGGCTATCGGACACGCATTCGTTATTAGATCCCCTGTAATCTCAAAAGTCGCTTGGGCCCTGTGAGGTTTGAGAATAACGCCAATTGACTAATTATAAGATAGCGCGAAATTCATTTATCATAAAATGTATAAAAGAAAAGTTTGAAACTACACAAATTTCCCAAATCTAAAATTATAGTAGCTTACGCTTCACCTTTTGAGATAAAAAACCCGTGTGGGTTAAGCACCCAAATGTTTCCAGTGGTCTTGTTATTAAATGATTTTGGATATATCAACAAAGTTGAAGTGGTAAATTGGCCACCGTAACGATTACAAAAGCTGACGTTTCGAGCGTCAGCCCTTCGTCGGAGCGAATAGAGCAATTGTGGGTTGTGTGTGCTTTTAAAGGCAGAGAATGGAGCTACGTTATTGGTGGGAACATGGCAACGAGAAAAACAAGAATAAATTAGTGGAATGAAAAGCGTTCGTGCACTCGACTTTTGCATATAGATAGCCTTTAGTAAGTATATGAATGCCATGCAGTTTTTTCCTTGAATTATCTGTTAATTCCTGAGAAAAACGATTTAAGCCGTTTTCACTTAGGCACAATTTGGCGATCCCAAACACGTGCAAACAGGGGGGAAATTAGTCACGATTCATTCCACTAATTTATTCTTGTTTTTCTCGTTGCCATGTTCCCACCAATAACGTAGCTCCATTCTCTGCCTTTAAAAGCACACACAACCCACAATTGCTCTATTCGCTCCGACGAAGGGCTGACGCTCGAAACGTCAGCTTTTGTAATCGTTACGGCGGCCAATTTACCACTTCAACTTTGTTGGTATATCCAAATTATTTCGTTACTCCCACCGACGCAGCCCCAAACAGTTTCTTTGGAAACTATCAGCCTTTATTCATTTGCTATTAAATGGTCTAGTTCTCTTGTAAGGAAGCGAAATTGCTGCACCTTTTTTCTGACAAAATTAACATCCCTAAGCGATGATCTCATTTTCAGTCAATCCACGAATCGGCGAGAGAGAGGCTAAGACCTTCCTTCGACGAAGAAGCGTCTTACAATAAACAAGCAACCAAACAAAGAAGCTACATGAGAGACTCATACAGCCCACTCAAGGCCTCCATTCCCTGTGAATAGGTTTGGCCAGGTTTTTTCTACGTGACCTTTTTTTAAAAACCTAACGACAAGAGATAATGTATATATTTAGCCAAGCCTTAAAGCGTTGGTCCAGCTGGTTAATTTCATTGCTCGATAACATCATGACGCTGAAGCTGAAGCTACACACCCGTCTGAAGCGAAAATGCCCAGGTTTACACAGCCTCAACTCTGGTTTAAAGAACAAGGTTAAAAGTTTGAATTCTGGGAGTCATATATCACAATCACCAATGCATCGTGGCTGAAACAGGTCAATTAATGCCATTACATCTCCCATACATTCATGCTTATAGGAAATCATTCTTTGTCACTGAGTGCCATTTGTTGTAATTCTGCCAAACATAAAAATATTTTTCGTTGTCTCAGTGTATTATGAACAGTTTATGATCTACAGAGTGTAAGTTCTGTTCCGTGAACTCCAAAGGATGAAAGTTCGCTCAGAAGACTAGACTGAATATTGGTGTCAAACCCTGATAAAAACGTGTGAACGTTACTGTCGCAAACATCTCAAAGCAAATAAGCTAATAACTCGAAGAAAAAATGTGTTGTGCCAAATAGGGCTAAGTTCGACTTTGGTACATCAAAAGCATGTTGCCTGAGAAGTCACCTTTACTCCCATTTCCCTTGGAAAATACACCTCTCTACCATAATCGGAAAGATAAAGTAGATGCTAGTCAAATGATTCAATATGTCTGGAGTTTTATTATTTAAACCAACCATTGAAGATAGATGTAATTATCCAAAAACAGCAGGCATGTAAAAGCTTTTAATGCAGTGTGCATCTACCAATGATGTCGAGCGTTCTTAAAGCCACTCCAGTGAGGTTTTTGATTACTAGGTTATCTTTAGCGCACAAACGTATATTTTCATTTTAATTGTTGGTTTTGTCCCTAACTTTCGTAAAAACGAGAGGACTCTAGATATTGTTCATTGCCTGCGAGTTATTAAGCTAAACTTGGCCTAAACGACTTTAAAAAATCATTGGCACGATCGAATTGATATATTTTCATGATTTACAGCACTTATCAATAATGCAAAACCTCATAAATGCCATCATCCTACCTGTCCAACCTTCCTTCATGATCAGTTTCTGATTGAGTGGATACCAGTCAATTATTATGGTAATAAACGTTCAACTGGAGCTCATTACGAGTAGATTTTATAAAGCCCTGAATCTTAACTGGAAGCAGCTCAAAAATAGCTACTCACTTAACAAAAAGATTTTCAGGTTTAATAACGCGGCCTACCTAAACGAAAACAAGAGCAAAGCAAATGTCACCCTCAAAGGCGTCATTTTTTGGCATGAAAAGGAAACATGTGAAAGATAGCACTATAACTTATACCGAATAGAAACTCATAGGTTGTCCTTCGGGATACATTCAAGTCAAAATAGCAACACAAATGTTGATCTTTTTTACCAAGAGATTCAAACAATTGATCTCATCTGTGGCTTAACTCATTCTGCCGACCTAAATTTGCCTTAAGGTGGCTCGTACCAGTTTCCTCGCGCGGGGAACAGGTCACTCTTGCGTGACGCGCGCGAGAGAAACGTGCGAAAGAAGCGCGAGATCAAAAGACGAAAATTCAAAACAAAGATGGCGGCGCGTGGAATTTTTTCTACTTTTGTGAGAAGTTTACCTAAGAGCTTGTCGTGTTGAGCGTGTTGAGCGGCCACTGTGAATGCAGGAGATAGAAACTAAGAAAACTAAGACGATTTTCGGAGAAGTAAAGGTTGCTTCTCTTCACATTGAAAAGAAATATTCAACCGATATGAAATCTTGCGACGGCGAAAAAAGAAGAACTCAAGTGAAGGATAATCTACCTGAAGTGGAAGAAGACTTTGAAACTTCAAGGAAAATAATATGATATAGCCAGAAGTCATGTGTAGGATTTTTAAGATGAGCTCGGGAGGCTGTCTTTGACGGCTGTTTAATGATTTTCTTAGCAGTAAACGTCTGTAAACATCAGATCGTAGGTGCTCGCGCGAGCACACGCAATTGTCAGCGGTAGCTAAAACAGATCATGAGCAAATGTCGATCTTATAGAATCCAGATTTTTAAATGCGCGAGAACGCGCGTGGAAATTGCTAAACTCACGAAAGCTATTGCATGAAAACAAGTCCGGTGACCCCTTCTTTTTATTGTTCCAATATGATAATAACGTCGAAAGGAATCATCAGAAAAAAAACTAGAAAATTCTACGGAAGGAAATTTG